AATCACCCCAAATGTTTTGTGTAAAAGTGTATCATGAATTGCAAATATGGTCCTAACTTTTACATTACTCAGAGTGTGGTTACAAATTTGCCCATAAAGATATATCAAAGTTTAGTCTATACATATTTTTACAATATTACTCTTTATTTATTCTCAAATTACACATGCATATTTCTTTTACCTTGATTTCTCAATTGAGTTTTACCTTCTTTTTTTTTTAATTAAATAATATACAATAAATTTATAGTTATTTTGTTACGTGTATTATGAAAATAAATTCATGTATCATAAATTAAAATTGGAGAGAAAAGAATAAAGTCTTAGTAAAAAATAGTTTTAGCAATTTGATTGTCCTTATTGAAAACTTGTTTCTTTCAAGTTTCATAATCGAAAAATACGGCTAAAAAACTCTCTTATCAATTATTCTCCTTCTTTTAAAACATAACAAGCTTTTTAAAACTAGAGGTAAAAATAAAATAAAATAAAATAAAAAACTCGTGGTATTGATATGTTCACGGTTGATTCTCATTTCCTTAGTTACCCTGCCATGCACTTTTTTCAACGGCCAATAATATTTTTAAAAACAATCTATACTTATATAGAAAGACATCATATTTATTATAAATAGTAGATAGAAAATTCAAAGGTAATTAATGCTTGTTGTAAATAGAATGACATTAATTACATATTTGTTTTGGTATTTACTAGTACGTGGCCCGTGCGATGCACGGGAAAATAATATTTTGATTGTATTATAAATTAAATAAATAAATAACATTAATTATGATTTACCCATTATTTATAAATTAAATCGAGTTGGACATAGTCCGACCGGAAACCGAGAACCTGTTTTTAACCGATTTAGTGCGCTTAAATAAAATATTTGCTATCGAATCCGCCAACACCAGTATGTTGGACTGGTAAGATCGATACGATTTTCTAAACAAATTTTGTTACATGAAAAATTATTTTAAATAAAATTACATATTTAAATAAAATAGAGATTTATAAATTGTTTATCAATTAGTTTAAACATTTGAATTTATAAATTGTTTAGATATTTAAGTAACACTTTCTATTTAAATTTATTACAAAAAGTACTATATATATATATATATTAAAGCATTATGTATTAAAATCTGAACAACCACAAGACGGTGCGATTCTGAAAACCTTATATTTATCGTACATTAATAAAAATGATAATGAAATAAATATTTTGTTCACATAAATAATAATAAAATGATTTATAAATGTTCATAAATCATTAATCATGTTGTCATAAATGTATTGTTAATATGATTATTTGAAGTTTGGACGACATCACATTCATGTAATAAAGTATTTTCAATATTAAAATTTATATGTAGGTTCAATAATCAATTTGGTCTGGTCAAACTGATACATAACTTAATTACATCGGACCAACCAAGTTATGTCAAGTTTTTTTTACTATTTTAAATATCACCTAAAAGTAATTCAATCAAAGTGGGCAGTATCCTAATTCAATCACCCGATTGATCCAAAGTAATTTCCTTATTTTCTTTAAATATAATATTTTATTTTATGAAATAAAAATATTTTATGATTCATATGTCTACACCAAATGATAGTATATTAAGATTATAAATTATATATTCAAAGATGAACTATTTATTTTTATTTTATGCATATTAATAAAAAATAAACATAGTAATTTTAAAAAAAATTAAGATTAATTGATTGGGTATGTAATTTAAAAAATATTTTTAGCGTTCAATATATATATATATATATATATTTAACATGATTGAATTTTTGGATTAGAATATATATATATATTTAAAATAATTTTATTATTAAAAGTCAAAAAGAAAAGATGCCATAAAGATTACAACTTTATGAACCCTCCGATTTTAAATGACTTATAATTTTTGAAACATGATACGTGCATTTAAAACCCATTAATTTAGGAACCATCCAATTTTTTGATAATGAATTAAAATTAAAATGTAAAATGTAAAAGTTGCTGAAAATAGTATATAATAAATGTGGTTGACTTTTCCTTACTACTATTTATGGTAAATGTTAATTCTTATTATATATATATAGATAGGCTTGACATTAAACATTTGTATGGGATAAAAGTCAGAACCGATTTTTTTACTTTGCTAGAAAAGTCAAAGGTAAGTATAGATTTATTTATATTATCAAATTATAAAAAGATATTAAATTCATATTGTAAAAAAAATAATTCATATAATTTTATAACAATTCTACTACACTATTTAACAGTATTCCTTTTTATTATATAATAAAATAATAATTAAATATTATATGGTGAACAACAATAAGTAAAACTGTTACTTTCTCTTATATCAATGGATAAATTTATATGCTAAAATTAAATTTTTATTAGTATAAATGTTCTAGTGAGATAATATATTAAATTCTGGCTAAAAAAATAACGCTGGTTAAAAGATGTGGAAAAAAAAACTTATAATAACTCCATTGTTTTTTAGACTTAACGTTGATTAAAAGATATAATAATCCTATTATTTTTTAGACTTAAATGGACAAGACTGTAAAAATAACTCATTTAATATCTCTGTCCCGTGCATCGCACGGAGTACGTACTAGTGTTAACTAAATCAGAATCATTAACTCTACCACATCTATACTTATATAATAAGGAGTACCATTTACGAAATTTAGTAAGTTGAAAAATCAATGCAATAAATGCATTACTATTTTGAGCAATATAATATCATATATATACTTATATAAAAGGAGACTCTATTTACTACATTTACTATCCAGAAAAGTCAACTGCATTAAATGTCATTACTATTTTGGTATTATAATATTTTATTTATTTAATTGATTTATTTATTTGTTTTATTTTAAAAAAGTAAGTATAATTAAAGATTTTAATAATAAAAAAATCAAATACCAAATAAAAATGTACACTTTGACTTATTTGATTATATTTGGTATTTGATTATACCAAATATATTCATATTTAGTATATACATTAAATACTTACTAAAGTATTTATTTGTTTTATTTGTCAAAGTTAAGTATAGATTTGTTTATATTATCAAATCATAAAAAAATATTAAATCCATATTGTAAAAAAAAGAAATCATATAATTTTATAACAATTCTACTACACTATTTAACAATATTTTTTTTTATTTAAGGTTGAGGCATCTCGGTGGAGGAAAGGATGGTAGCTCAATGGAGGTCTTCTAGGGAGAGGGTGGCGATGTAGTGGAAGTTTTACTGGTAGCTATTAGATGGGACTTGGAATTGGTTAAGCAGCTGGAATGGAACTTTT